TTCTCCTGCATTGAGCTGACTGCTATCTGGCTTTCCCAAAAAAAAACAGCATCTCTATAAAAGGCAGTTGTTTTTATCCGCTTGCTTAACTGAAATCAATTAAAGAATCAATATAATATCATCCTGGGACTTTCGTCACATTAATCACTTTAGTTTGGACCTAGAAACCTCCAAATCCTCTAACCACTCTGCCAGATTAAATGAAGTAATCTATAAAACATATATAGAAATCTTGATTCCCCAGGGAGTAATTGACAGAATTACCATCAGCATTACCATATTGGCGCAAATTCAGTAAAGTCTCTTTTCATCTTGAAGGATCTGGTGCAGAAGAAATATATTTTCACTCAAAGAAATCACTTCACTGTCCGCCGAATTTTTAATATTACTGATTTGGCTTTTACACTAGCTGCCAACATCTCTGCCAATGTCTGTCTTCATTCCTTAGGGGGGAAGTCAAACCTCAACTAATAAATGTTTAGATGAGTTGACCAACCTTTCACACATCATCAGTTCTTTCCCCATAGTCTTGAATATGGACAGCAATTATATCTCTGATTTTTTTTTGTTCTAGGTAAATCATTAAAACTTATAAAAGTTTTAAGCAAAAATGAACAACATTTATTTTACAAGTTAGTACAATAAATATTTATCTCCATAACAACTATGAAAATAGTTTCTGACATACTTTTTGTCCATGGAGAAAGTCTCCTTTTAGAGAGACTTCTGTCTTTTTCCCTTAAACTGTCTTTAACAGTGTTACTTTAACCATACAAAACCTGTTGGTCAAAAGATTAAGACAGTAATGATTAAGAAAAAAAGACAAAGTTTTAAAAAACTAGTCAGCCACAGTCTGCCCCACTTCTTGGGTAATATTTTCTTATTAGTGCATGTATCTAACTTAAAGTATTATAACTTAAATCGAGATCTTGATGCTTTGTAGCGTCATTAATCATTTCAATATATCAACCATCATTCTCTTATACTTGTATCATATGTTAATTAATGTCTATGCCAAAGCTATGTTATGGCATGTTATGTTTCATACCAACCAAGGGAATAAAACCTTATCTATGCCAGCTTATAATAATCTTAATTAGCTGGATCATAACTCAAAATACTCTCGCTAACATATGGAATTTGGATTAAGCCAATGAAAACAATGTTTAATTTGCTGAGAAAACATATCAAAGCATTGCCAATACTTGAAGCATCATCTTCTATTCTACAAGATTGACTAAGCAAACAAAAATATCCATTTTCTTCATTTTGTACTTGTAGAGGTCACATTTCACACTATACTGACGAAAAAAGTCATGTCTGTAAATACAGTATAGGAAATGAATACCACTCTATGTGTTAATGGGACAGCAAATATGTTTCTTCATGAATTACAAAGTACTTTTCATTGTTAATTCTTCATGACTCATCATCTACATCTTACACTTTATTATCTTAATATCTCTTATATTGTAGGTCAATGAAAAATATAATTCATATTCTTTTGGTATTAAAAATAATACTAAAACAATATAATTATATTCAGACACCACCTGTGTCATAAGGTTGATTTATACAAAGAATAGCAACTATCAATTTACCTTTTCCACCTTAAATTTTAATAATCATTCAAGCAAAATATAGTAAAAATCTGCAACTTTCCATATATCTTAAATTACAATGATTTACTTATTCTTTTTACTTTCTATCAAATGATGTAACAGTTTCAATAAAACATAAGGGTCTAAATATAAGGAGGATATTTATAATTTTGACTGAAACATATAGTTTTAATGTTTATGATAAGCCATCTGTTTTTCCTACCTGAGGTTTTTGTTCATTCAACATACCAAGGTATAATCTTACAGATAATTATAAAAACAGATTCCTTTTTCACAGACTGTCTGCTATACTAAATCATCTTCCCATAGTCAAAATATTCCATACAGACCAAAAAGGCAAATACTTCACACCATCATTCAAGCTACCATGACTTCATTGTTCACAGAGAAAAAGATACATGGAGAACCTCACACAAAGAAATACAATGAAATTATTCCTGGTTAATCAATTAATGAGTCTACAAGTCTGACATGCTTTCTGCAAGTTGATGAAAATCCACAGAATGTGTCAAAGTATTTGGTTGCTTCAACAAAATTTTGATGAAAATCTGCAGAAAACGTCATCTATCTTATAATGCTTGATTGCTTTACCAAAACAAGTGTGGAACATTTTGCTTTATAATTGTCAGTTCAAGTTTGTAATTGTTTTAACAAAATGTCAAAGGAAATCTGTACACATTATGTTCCACAAAACATTTTTTACCAAAAAAAAATTATAACGTTTTTTTTTATTTTAAAAATTTAAAACATTTTTTTTTATTTTAAAAAATTATAACATTTTTTTTATTTTAAACAAGCTTACTGCCATATGCAGAAATATAGTTCCAGGAAAACTTTTAGGTTCTGATTGTCATTGTGATAAATGATTAAATTGTAAAATAATTTTACATTTTTCATTGGCTTCATTTAATGTGTCAATGTCTTACATCCTGAACAACATTAGAGTACAACAAACTTGTCTTGTACAAATAAAATAAAATACTGAAGTACCAAATTAGAAATATTAACAGTAATGTAAAGTAGTGTATAACTACCTTTAATTTGATACAATTAACATTAAATGGCCATTCAGGGACATCAGGGAAATCTTTTATCTTTACAACAATCTGATAAAATGTCTTCACGATGACAATTAAGATGGGCATTAAAGTAAACATCCAATAGTCTGATAGTCTGCCATGTGAAATGTATATGGAGAGATCAAATAGTCTCCAAAGTAAAATATTAAAGGAAATAACCAACAGTCTGTGCAATGTAAAATATTAAAGGAGATAACCAAAAGTCTGCCATGTGAAATATTAAGCAAAGATCAAAAAAGGAGACCATGATCTCCTCAAAAGTCACACATGCCTTAATTAAGAGAGACAGATCTGATACAATAAATCCTGTATTTTTATACTATCATGGTAAATTACCAGAATGTCCAAGTTGGGATGTGCCATTTCCGCATCTTGTTATTTTAATTCATTCATTTGTAAAACAAAGATTACAGTGTGGTAAGAAAAAAATTGGTTATATTCTTACAAATATCATAAAACCTATATGTTTAATCTCAACTGATGTCAATTGAAAGTTGCGTTTCTTTTGCTTATTGCTTCAAATAATTTTCCTTGTGGCTAATATTTTTGATATTCCAATTAGTATTAATAATAGGACCTTAATAAGGTCCTACACTATCAAAATATCAATGATTCATTCATTATAAAAACAACTGAGGTGAAATGGGTTATAACGCAATCAATTTCAAGCTCATCAAAATCTGCATACAGAAAAGATTTCTTATATTATATTCAGTGAATTTCAGTCCAAGTTATGCAAACTCAATCATGGGAAGTTTTATGAAAGCAAATTGAGGTTAGTTTGTGGTAAGAACTCTATTATTTATTAAGATTTAGAAAATTCCAGAGGGAAAAACTTTTGTTAAATTCTGACCATTTGATTTACATATTAAATTATTTTACAAAACCTGAGCAATATTCGTTTTAGAGTCATAAGGAATTCACTATTTTTTTAATCAAATCTGTACAAAGTAAACAGTAAACAATTCTATTGATTTTTTTTTGCTTTTGAGTGGATTACTGATTATTTTATCCGTTAAAATTATGTTTGAAGATTACTGATTATTTCATCCGTTAAAATCATGTTTGAAGATTACTGATTATTTTATCCGTTAAAATCATGTTTGAAAATTATCAAAATATAAACAGATTTTAATATTCTAGTTAACAGTTAGGAAATTTCATTTAAACTTGTATATCTGCATAAAAATAAAAAGTAAATTTGTTTGTTTTTTGTGTAATTTGCCACTCGTGAGAATACTGTTTTTTAAAGCTTGCTTGATGAAATAAAATAAAAATTTTATTTTACAAAAAAAAAACACATATCCTTTGTATATTTTGCCAATTTCCCTTGTATGTAATTAAAATTTACAAAAAGACAACAAATATCAGTTTTGTAAAAAATTATGTCTCTTCTGTTAAATGTATAACAACATTTAACATGTTCACCATTATTAAGTCAACAAAAACTATTTAATGCATCAGTAAAATGTAATTATGTAACTGTAATGGGTGGTTTACAAAATATTAACCAAATTTACTGCCTGTGATCACCCAAGATCCCCCTATAAATTACTTTTTGCATGTAAAAATGCTGATGTTGCAAAACATATTTATTCTTATGAAAGATGAACGAGCATAAAATATGCATTTATTTTGTAAACTATGGAGAACCCCCTCTTGGTGGTATGCAAATTATTCACAAAATTTACAGAATTTATTACTTATGATCACCAACTGTAACTACCATAAATTGCAATGTTATTTCTGATAAGAAAAAATACATCATTGTTCCAAAGATATGAATAAAGCATTATTTTGACATGAAATAAATAAAACATTATTTCTACAAAGTCATCCTGCATGTTTAAATCAGTCACATTAATGTTTCTCCTATGAATAATCCATTATTTCCATAAAATTATACTTCATGGGTGTCTTTATTAGAATCTCATCTTTTCTAAATTACTGAAAATTTACAATATATAGTTGCAGGACTTCTTTTCAATATTATGATAACTTGATATGAGTCTCTATCCTAGGTCCTCATTAGGTTTGTTTAATTGTAATATAATTATGGTTCTTATTATTATTATTATATAAATACATAAACATTTGAATTTCAGAAGAAATGCAAATGCCATAAAGAAGGACTTGATCTTATATGCATGTGTCACAGTGGCAATAACATTGTATAAAATCCTGGTCATATCTTTTCCCATTTAACTTTAAAAGCTGTTAAACAAAATTTACCCTCACTCAGAGCATGCATATGAAGGTGAAGGTCATTATGTTTGTTAATTATGTTGCCATGACTTACCTTCATCAGAAACCTTGAAGAAGAAACTGTCAGAGCTGGCATTCTCTCCAGGATTCAGTATATACTGTATTTCTTGTCTTTTTATGTCACCTGAAAATATATACATATATTTTTATTACATTTTGAAAATTAGGCATCAACAGAAGCTTTTCTAATTAAACTATTATAATAAATACATTACGTTTGGGAATTTGTTACATATTCCACCTTAAGGCTCTAGTGGTATACACTGATTCAATCTTTCACTAAACTGTTTATAAATTAAAACATTATGTTGCAATTTGGCTCCCTACACCAAGAAACTGCATTAACTAAATATTAATTGGTAAATATTCAATTTAGATCAAATATATTGGGAAAAGAAACTCTGAAACTTTTTTTGAGCTTAAAATAGAAATTTTAATTCTGTTTTAACAAGGGAATATTATATACATAATTATATTATATAAGAATTGTATAATTATGTTCTTTTGCATCTATGATTCATTCCAATAAAATTATCTGGAATCACTTCAAATATTGTCCTTTTTTTACTGAACGTCTGGCATGTCACCAAAAACTTACTCAATGCTTTGAAAATAAATCACTTCTGTTTTTGGACAAGAAAATAGCAAGCCCCCAGACTGTACAGATACATGTTGTTTATAATACTTTTATGTGATATAAATGGAACTAGACATGTATGTTCCCATGAGGTCACTTTGTGGCAGACGTTCCAATGACGTCACTTTGTGGCAGACTTTTGATAAATAGTAAAAATGAAAACGATTACATCAAGAGGTTTTAACATGCTGCAGGCAAAACAAGAGGAAAAACAAACAAAAAACAACAACAACGACAAAAAGCAGAAGACGAAACAATTGGAAACACAGAGATTCATTCATAACACATGGATGTGTTGTTCAAGCAATCAGAAATTGTCTCTCTCTGTGGGTAAATTCCCTTACTGCCAGTCTTTATGCCAAAATAAATTGTAGATTGTTTTATTCTTGGCAAAAAGGCTTTGTCTGGAAACTATTTGTCAGGCTAGAGACACTCTGTCTAGCTTATGTAATGTTTGTAAGGTATGGTGGAGGTTTTTTTTGAAAACTCAAGGGAAATCTGTGCAGCATTATGACAGAAAGATAATTTTGAAATTGCTCACAGATACTATTATATCAATGCTCACAGACAATGTTTGTCATGGCATGCTCTATGTGATTTGTGCTTTAATATCCGGCACCATGCAATGATGTATCAAATTGATACCATAAAAATAAACCCATCATGTTATTTATTAATCAAAGTAGAATTATTTAATGCTTAACAATTTTATCAATCCGGATGGAACAAAATTTCATTTAATTCACTGTTATCATGCAATATGAGAGTACAGTAATCTTTATATGTGAGTTTTTGCCAATTTTAAAAACAAATCAGTCAGTTCTAAAAACTGCTGTAAAGGGAAAAAAATATCATAATTACATGTAACTCAGCATTAGTTTTCAGTCAAACTAGTTTTAATTCTTTACAGCAGAAAGATGAAATTGCACAAAGTATTTGAAAAGAGAAATTATTATCATTTGTGAGTACACCTGAACTTATTTTATCTTTAATTAGTAAAAAACTATTTAAATCTGCTTATAAATGACAAAACAGATGCAATCTTTAACAGATAAGTGAAATCTGCCATTATATAATTTTTAATTCCAATTTATTTAATTTTGCCAACAAGAACAAAAATCTTCTTTTAAACAATTATCAAATATATTCATTCAAAGGGACAAGAATATGAGTAATGATTAGCAAGCAATTTTGCAACAAATTTCAAAAGTCGCAAACATTATTTATACTTCTCAAAGCAACTGTAGTCTGAAAACTATATATTTATTCTGTTTTTTCCCTCAGTTTCCAAAATGAAAAGTTTGTAAAGAATGTTTGTAAAACCTTAGTTTGTTGTACCTTTACAAAAGGTAACATCTGGATATAACATTTACATTATCTATGTTGTTAAAATTCTTGGAATAGATCTAAAGATTATTTATTTTGAAGAATAGGTATCCATCCATGATAAATTATAGAATGGAATGAAGTTGCCATGTTTCACAATGATGTGGAATCTGATTTATGATTTTATTATTTTTAGAACTCTTTTTTATTTTACAATTTCAGACTATATATAATTATTGAAAGTTCTATGAAGGTCAATCAGTCTGACACTGTGGGGGTGGAGGGGAAGCTTAATTGCACAGTAATTGTTATGCATGCCTCTCAAAACATGGTGAGCTTTTTTGCAAAGTAATTGAAGTCTGTACCTTTCAAAACAAGGTGAGCTTGATTGTAAAGAAATTGAATTGCCTGCCTCTAAAAATAAAGAAATTATCTACTAAGCTACATCTACGTTAAATACCTACATTTATTTTTTATCTTTATTTATACATTACAGATTTATTTTAACATTACTTTTATTATTATAAATAACTATTGTTAATGTAAATTTTGACAGAAAGGTATGCTTCGAAACATATTTTTTTTAAATTTTTATTTTCTGCGAAGCAAATCGGCAGGCACGGTCTCAAGTATTATCAGCCTGCAAATTGGCACTATCCTCGTATATCGGCACTTTGATCACATGATCGTGTCAAGATTTACCTCCGCTGGTGCTTCATTTTATCAGATTATATTTCTGCTCTAACGCAGAATTTTAAGATACTAATGAAAACCTCTTGAAATTCATTTAAATCTTCAAGATTATGCTCGGATATTTATCAGTTGTTTCCTGGAATTTTAGGTGGTATTTTTTGTTTTCAAATACTTTTTGATATCTGTAATTTTGGAACAAAAATCTTTCATTTCACAAAAAAAAGAACCCTTTTAAATTTCCGTCTAAGACATTGAGTTTAATGTTCCTGAAAAGTGATGTATTACATTTATAAAGTCAATATCTATGATAAATGAAGAAAGTTATTTATAGGATTAATTTCATTTTCACGGAAACCTCATCAATAATGGAAAAAAACAACTATTCGATTTAACAGTAATTATAACGTTAGATAATTTATGTAGGAAAATATTGAATGATTTAAATGTAATAAGAATTGCCTCATATGTCATTTGTTAATGAGTATTTGCAGTGAGGCTATACAATTATTACTGGAAATGTTCTCAGCTTAGGAGAAAATTAAGTACTTGAAAGGAAGTAAAACCCCAAATTTTTAGAGGCAATCAAATTTTATCAACTCATTCTATTTAATGGCCTGAATAAAAAATTTTAATGTGAAAAAGAAAGAGCTGTCAGTAAGACAGCGTGCTACACTATTCTCAGTGCTTGATAGTAAAACAAAAGCCTGGATAATGTAGAATATTCTAAATTCAAAAAGGGCCATAATTCTGTTAAATTCCATGTTAGAGTAATGAACCTTGGACAGTGACCTATTACCTCTCAAAAAAGTGTGTCAAGTTTCAACCCATTCCCTTCATTGGTTTTGGAGATACCTACTAGCTTGCACACAAAATCTTAATGTGCCTGATGGAAACGCTGACCCAGATGCCTGGGTGAGTACAATAGCTCTCCATATTCTTCAAATAGCCGAGTAAAAAAACAACTGTCATGATTGATAGTGACATAAAATCATTTGAGCCCGACATGACAAAACCAACATAATGTGTTTGCGACCAGCGTGGATCCAGACCAGCCTGCGCATCCGCGCAGTCTGATCAGGTTCTATCAGATCCTGATCCATGCTGTTCGCTTACAAACTCTTTAACAAGTAGAGAAACTGATAGCGAACAGCATGGATCCTGATCAGACTGCGCGGATGCGCAGGCTGGTCTGGATCCATGCTGGTCGCAAAGCAATTATGTTGGTTTTGTCGTGACACGGCTCATTTAGATATTGTGAGCTAATTCTTCAAAAGATATTTTACAATAATAAAGATAATGTTCCCAATTAAACACATATCTTTACCACAAATTGCTCCACTTTAAAAACAATAAAGATTTTTGTACTGATAATAATGACTAGAACCAATTTGATCACAATTATAATACAAAAATAAAATTTAACAATTTTGTTCGATGTTGCTATGAAATTAAATGATCTTTATTTGATAAAAATTAAATTGCTTATTTTCTTTTTAATGATAAGAGGAAATAAAAGATAACAAATTTACATTAAGATAATGATGGCCACTTGTTTAGTTGGGAAATTTGCTTCAATTGAAATAGCACTACTTATAAAACAATTTATTCTTCGGCAATATTTTCTGGTATCATGATCTTATTGTAATTGGCAGTAATTTGCAATTTAATTAGTAAAATTAAATACATTTCGATGGCATAAACTTCAAAATATACAACACTGTATTTTGACAAAACTGTTCTTTGAATCTTTATTGTAATTTTTATTATTTACAGAGGTTAAATATTACAACATTCTTTTATATTGTATTTGCAGATTAAGATACATATTGTTTGTTTATACAAAATGACTTAAATAGACCATGGTCATAAAGTGTGTAAGCAATGACAAGAATATCCACAATTAAGACCACCTCGCAATTAAGACCACTTTGGTCCAGTCCCAATGGCGGTCTTAATTGAGGGTTTTTACTGTCTTTTTATTTATTAATTTTTTATTTATTTCTTTTTGTAGGGAGGGGAGGATGTGGGGGTTGAGTTTTACAGTACACCAACATAGTACAGTGTTCGAAATTAGCAGTAGTCCTAAAGCCCCTGACTACTAAATTTCTCCTTGGGCTACCAACTTTTCAAAGTAACAAGCCCGGCCAGGCTACTGTATTTTCAGAGGCAATATAATCAACAGTTTTGAACAAATGAATCGTGCTAGTGAAATGTCTTTAGGGCTAGTGAATATTCCAATCTGGTAGTCCGACCAGCCTAGTGGTTTCAAATCCGAATTTCTTACACTGATAGTAGAGGTCATGATTAGGACTTTCCAGCTAAACTTACTGGTACAAAAAGACCTCAGGTTCCACTCTGTGCATTTATGAAGGCACATTTTTAATTGACACTCAAGTAGAACCACCAACATTCTGTTATTAAGTTTGCTGGATAGCTTCATTACATGAAAGAATCCGAGGTTTCTTAGA